AATGGATTTGAATCATAATATTCTCCATATACAATCCTCATTTTACAGGAAAAATATGGGATAGAGGAACAACTGAAATGATACCACAGGGATGTCATCAGCATAATCCAGAACACGAGAAACCACAGAACAAGTGACATATCAGACATAAATTGCGAGGGGTAAAAAGGTAGAGGGAATCTACAGATTTAAAAAAGCTGGAGAGATATATCAGGCAAATGCAATCTATAGTCCCTGTTTTGATCACAACTGAAATAAACCAACTGTAAAACAAATTTGAACAATCAGAAATATGGAACCCTGACTGGATATTTTCAGAGATTGAGAAGCAATTGTTAACCTATTTAGATGTGATCATGGTGCTGTGGTTATGTTTATACAAAGTCCTTAATTTTTATAAAAACACACTGAAATACTGATGCTAAAATGTTGGGATGTCTGGAATTCTCTTCCATGGGGTAAGGGGTGAGAAAGACAGCTGAAACTTCAGTGATCATGAGTTGATGATGGCTGTGGCTGGGCAATGAGAACATGAGAGTTCATGTGTATTCTTTGTACTTTTATGCATGTTTGAAATTTTCTATAATAAAAAATTTTACAAAAGCTGGCTTTTCTCCCCATCGCCATTCCTCAGGATAACCCATTATAACTTTTTCTTTCTTTCTTTCTTTCTTTCTTTCTTTTTTTCTGATCAACAGCATCTTATCAGTTTTATCAGACTAATGCCAGACACGGCTAGATCATCAAAGCTTCCCCTTTATCCCTGAGGAGAAATGAAAAGTTGGTTGCCCCTTTGTGTGAAACTTTCACATCATTACCATTTAGATGCTAGGTCATTTTAGTGTGCACCCCATGGCATACCCTCCATAAGAATCTAGCCACAGGGACTAAACATGATTTCTAAATGATAAAAGACCATTATTTTCAAACCTGGCAATTGTGTTCTCCCATTTTTATTTACAAATTAGTCCCATACAGTACACCTGACAAGTTCATTTTGAGGAATGAACTCTGGGTCTGGTTCTCAGAGCAACCTCCCCACCCTACAGCAAATGACCAGGTTCCCTGTGCCTTGCTGCCTTTGGCTCCAGATGTCTCCAGGGCATATAGATTGGAAACGGTGACTTCAGTGTTGATCATGGATTTTGATGGGTAATGAGGGAGAGATGCCTCATTGGATTGTGACCCAGCTCTCCTCCAGCCCCATGCACTCCAGTCCCATTCTCTTCTCACTGCCCCTGGCTGTATAGACTACTCTCCTCATGCTTCTCTCCACCTCTTCAACCTCACCATTTTTCCAGAATGTCATTGATTTCTCCCTTTCCTGAAGTCTGGCTCTGCCTCTCCACACTTCTCAAATCTTCTATAAGCATTACCTATTTGATACCTCTCAGACACTGAGCTGTCCACAGGGTTTCTTCCAGGGTCCTTCCATGATTTGGTTCATCAAGAACTATCTAACCAATTATATTGTAAGGTGCTGGAGGACAGGGGAACATCATATACTCTTCTGGACCCTCCACAAAGCCTAGCACAGTGCTTACTCTTGAGAGCTGGTAAATACTCTTTGAGTGATTGACTGAAGATCAATTTGCAAATGACAATATATGTGCAAGGGGGTGAGGGACATATGTGAGTCCACTGGACTGGTGCAGAGTAAATAGGTTGCTCCTGAGCCACATGGCTCCCTTGTGCAATTTTTTTAAAGGTGCTTTCCAGGGTACTAATAAAATTCTGCCTTGATTTGATGGTATGTCATGGATGTACGTATTGGTAAAACTCCATCAATCTTTGCACCTGACTGTATATTAGGAATACTTCCATAAAAATAGGTAAATGAATGAATAAACAAATGAAAGTCACCCCTTCCTCTATGAGGATGCAGCTCACATTAGGGAACATGGCTTAAAGAGAAGAGCTTGAGATAGAGTTTGGCCTCCCCCAATCTGACCCCTATGTAACTGTGCATGGAGATCCTGAGACCAGAAGTGGAGAGCCCTTCATTGAGGGATTATCTGATGTTCAAAGCTCCATCCCATCCAAACAATCTGAGAGGCAGCACTATGGGTGTGGCAGTGCTCCTACTCACAGGAGTCAAGTCAGGCTCCTTAGCCGCAAATGCTGAAGTGGCCCCTCAGAGAGTCCAAGTCAGCTCAAGATGAGGATGAAATAACTAACTCAACCTGAAGGGACAACGGGCATTATGGCAACAGGCAAGAGCCAGGATTCAGCTTGCCCTGAACCTCAGTTCTGTTCTGGGTTTTAATGATTTCCTTATTTGGCCCTCCACCCATCTCTACAGGGTTTGTTATTGCCCCAAATTTCACAAACTTGGTTGAAGTAAATGTGACCCTTTGCCAATGAATTCTATTTCCTGAATGCCCAGGAGAAGCACATGCCACAGGGCTTTTTCTCCATCAATGGGCCAATCTGTTTAGCAGCATCTCAGAATGTTGTTGTTGTTGTTATGTGCCGTCGAGTCGGCCCCGACTCATAGCGACCCCTCCTTGGGTTTCCGAGGCAGTATCACTACGGAAGTAGGATTGCCCAACCTCCCTAGAATAGAACATGCTAAAGCCATCAGGTACCTGAAACACTTTGGCAGGAGGAAACAGAATTTGTTCTGGTGTTGAAGGAGAGACAGACCATAGAGGTGCTGCTTAGTTGAAGTGCTGTAACACGTAGAATAGAAACTAGAAGAGTAAATCTTACATCCTAAGGGTTTCTAGTCTTGAGCTTTGGGGACAAACGGACAGTCCATCCCCTGTTCCAAGCTGGACAGTCACAGGACCTCACCCCATGTGTGAGCCTTTCCTAAAGTCGGGTGAGAGATTTTGTAAGTACCAAGTCCAGAAGGATCCCATGGTTTCCCTCACCCACAGCAGTCTGTGGGTCTTCCCTGTGGCATTCAGAGATAGGTAAGAATTAAACAGTAAAAGAGAATATGAGCAGTAATACCAGCCTCCTTCCTGTTCCTCTGAGCTGCCCAAATCTTTCCAAAATTTCATACATTTGACTCTGCAACAGTAATGATGATAAACCATCAGCAACCAAAGCAGCCTGTTTGATTGTAAAAAGAGAAATGCCAAATTCTCCATATAGAGAACTCCCAATAACAAAATGTTTTTTCAGTCAGCTGTAGATGCGTTCCTTCGGGAGAGCACTAAAACCTGGGTGAGCCTCCCTCAAGCTAAAACCTAAACAGCAGCTCAACATGCAGCAAAATGGACAATGTTTGCTGTACTGAGAATGGTGTGCTACCAACTGCGTTACTGTAAAAGATAATGTAAAATGGACAAACCCCACCTCTAAAAGGGATGCTCACAGGCCACCCTGTCTGCAGCAGGTTTCATGCTACTAAGAGCTCTTCATCACTGTTAGTTGTCTAAGAAATGACTTCTGAAGAAATAAACACATAAGAGACACAGTTGGGCAGCTAAAGAAAAAAAGATTATCTTCTCTCACAGGCTATGTGCTCCCACACAGAAAAACCAAGACAGCATATATCAGCAGATCCACATGGAACCAGAAGCACCCCCCTTCAGTTTTGCTACTCCCCAGGCTTATTTGGTATAAAGATAATGCTTTCCATTTTATCTTAACGTCTCTTGGTAGCTTTCCTGAGTTTTGTTGTTGTTGTTATGTGCCGTCAAGTCAGACCCGACCAATCGTGACCCCTCCTTGGGTTTCCAAGGCAGTATCACTACAGAAGTAGATTGCCACATCTTCCTTCCGAGGAATGGCTGGTGGGTTTGAACCACCAGCCTTCTGGTTAGCAGTCAAGTGCCTTAGGCACTACGCTACCACAGCTCCCTTCCTGAGTTTTAGGTCTACTGATTTATTACATATTGACACTTCCCTTCACTGCATTCACTGCCATTTGATTGTTTTGCAACAATTTGTTGGCATGCATTTAAAACAAGCTGGTTTCACAGCATTTGATCAGATATCTGTTTAAGGCATTCCATATGGGTTTCAGCTTTTTCACTGGTTTGAGGTGGTAATCTAAATTGTAAGGCAACAGGAACATATTTGATGATAGATTATTCAACAGCATTTTTGCTTCACCTCAAAGCATTTCACTAAGCCTTGGTGAAAGCATATGACCCTGTTAGTATTGTTGGGTCTAAATAAGTACCTTTTGGTATCCAGTGGGCATTTTTCCTTCCTGCAAAGATGATTATTGCCACTAAATGACAGGAAAAGTGCATGACCAACTTCATGGTTCAACTATTTCCATATCTCTCATTCCTAGCAGTGACACTTATCTTCCCTGACAGCCACTCCCATTGTGCTCTTTACTCGGCCCAACACAATGGACACATGCAAACACCAGCAGACAGGAAGGACGTTTTACATCCCACTGCTCCTCAATGTTGAGCGACCAGGATGAGGTTACATAAAACCCTCCTGAGCGGTGTTGCCCTGGCGTTGGGGGGACGCGAATCTGGGGTTCGTGACGGAGTCACGGTCTGCAGGCCTCAACTGACCCTGCGCTTGCCATTCTGCCTCAACGAGGCGGGGCGGCTGGAAAGGAAAGGCCACTTCCCGTGACCACTCGGCTCACTCCAACTAGGTAGAATTCAAAGTGAGGCTGGACGTCAGATCTTGCTGTCCACACTAGATGGTGGGGTTGCGGGCCCCAGCCTCAGGCTGCAGCTCCCCACCCCCCGGACGTCAGGACGCGCGCTTACCTGCCCGAGCCGGGGCCGGGGCCGGGGCCGGGGCCGGGGCCG